CCCCAAAACCCCAAAACCCCAAAACCCCTGAAATATTAGTGGATATTGAAATAAATTATCTATATGGCTGCCAAAAGTACAAGTTCGCTGATAGCTTCTGTCCTCAATGGGACTATCTCCAACATCAAAGATAGTGCTTTCTTGATAACTTCTAACTCAAAAGTGTCCAATGCTTACATGATTAGTCAAATCTTGAAGAGTAAATTGCACAAGAAATGTATTATTATTAAATTTTTGAAGGACTCTTTGCCAAAGAAATTAGTTGAACAGGCAGAAGAGGTTCAGACAGATAACTTCACTGCGAAGAAATTAACAGAAAAATCGTTCAGTAAGACTTTCTCCTAACTCATAGTCATTGAATGCATCCCTACTCTTTCACTTGGCAATAAGAATAACTTCGAAAGTCTTAAAAGAATGTTTCAAAATGGGGATAGTTTTGATTCTATCTTTACTGAACTTGGATTATCTGACCATGCTAGTCTTGTCATTGATAGCCTCAATATTCTAACAAAGATCATAGGATTGAAGGAGCTTGACAGGATCAAATTCATCCCGAACTTGATGCCAGTGTACTTCTTCCAAAATCCTAAATTAGTCAATGAGAAAGTGATGAAGAAATACTCCAAGTTCTTTGATGTGAACCTCAGACTTGAATCAACAAAGTAATTCCCTCATGTTTAACTCTTATAGCTTAGATGAAGATAAACTACAAGATGTGTTTTATATTGGCATCAAGAAATCTCATGTAAGCTATCCAAGTTCATCTCTAGGCCCGATTTGAGGAGAAAAAGTACTTGTTGGAAACAACTCTTTCCAGCCTGATCACAACAATTACTGAGTATAAAGAACCTGAAGCAGAGGAAGAAAAGAAGGAGGATCTGCCCCAGAGTACTTTCAGCTTAAAATCTCAAAATAATGCTGAATCTCAAGCTAGAGATAACGTCGAATTACCTTACTTTGTTGGAGAAAATGAGGATAATGGCGACAAGAGTAATCTTTTCACAGTGGATGATGAAGACAAGATCGAAGAGGAGGAGGATCCCGAGTATGATGTTGAAGAAGAATATTAGACTTTCAATCCAGTATTGACATCCAGGGGTTTTGGGGTTTTGGGGTTTTGGGGTTTTGGGG